TGATTCTCGGAATGGACTTTTTGTGCGCGTATGGTGCCGTCAATAAAATTAGAGGAATCCAGTTGATGCTGCGAAAGCCTGTACCGCCGCTGGAGGAACCCGACGTGGTGTCAGTTGTAGTCCGGGTCTCTGCCGACAGTGTGAATCTTCCATAACGGTGAAGTATTTTTTCGCCCATCGAGACTGATACAGTAACTTGCGACGAAGATTTGATGGAAGGAAACGTTTAACTGCTCTTGGGGAGAGCAATCAGCGTCGCCCTGAGTGTGACGGAGCTTGACAATGGACGTGTTGTGGATCTTTTCACAAACTTCTCGTAGAAGGCTCAACACCTTACGGAAGGCACCGCTGTCGGCCACATTGAGCGTCTCCTGGACCACGCTGCGATCACTGCAATCCTGGGGTAATTCTCGACAGAGCAGCACAACAGCAGACCGCCCTGTCATCTAGACGTATATTCCGAGCTCTCAGTCTCAAAACGCCATTAACTTATTGATGCTGTTGCCGAATTCAAGGACAGTTTTGCGACGTCGCCGACCGTTAGCCAAACAGCGGTTGCGAAGCATCGCAACGTTAATGACGACGGTACGCACCCTGTCCACCAGTCGCCGTACCGTGTTTCTATGAAAGAGATGGAAGTCATCCAAGAACATGTTCAAGAAATCATCGACGCTTACATCATACAGCAGTCAAGCAGTCTGTGGGATTCCCCAGCCGTCCTGGAGAAGGAGAAGGACTGAACATTCAGATTGTGCACAGACTGCTGTCAACTAAACGCGAGAACAATGAAGGACGTCCATCCGCTTCCCCGTATCGACAATACTCGACCGTCTGCTTTGCGCCATAGAGTACGATGGAAGGTCAGGGAACGCCATCTAGAGACTGCGCTTTCGAAACGTACGCATTCGATAAGATACACTCCAGCTGCCATATCAGTTGTGTGGGGCGTCGAGACGACGGGAGCCGAGTCGTGGTGAGTGGGAGGAAGTGCTGCTCATGCATGCAGCGTCGATGAGTAGTTTCGTAACTGAGTTAATCTAATAACATTGCTCAAAGCGTAATGTAACGTTACACCTAACGTGAGGCCAGCTCATACCCCACCCCCTCCCGCCCCCGCCTCAAGCGCCTGCGCTTACCAGTTAACGACTTTGGAGCTCAAAGCGTAATGATAGGCCTAACGTTAGGCCATGCGTCAGGCCAGCGCATACCAGCGTTTTTTTACCGCTACACCACCAGCAGTTCGGCTAACTCCTTAGCAACGATGGCGCCATTGCTATGGGGCGACATTACGAGTCCCAGCCAATTGGAATTTAAGTGCCCTTTCGCTGCTACAGACAACGCCGGCTTTGCTCAATGGTACAGTTTGTCATGATCCTTATGACAATGATTCTGCCGCAGCAGCGATTGAAGACGAAGAAGATTATGACCAGGACGAGGTGGAGAGCGTGCGATCAAGCGGGCAATTGGAAGCTGAGCACGGACCGCACCCGCCGGCCTGCAGATAGCTCGACAGCTGCCACGGTCAGCGAAGCACTGAGTCCAGCGTTCTGATCAACGGAACCATCGCCGGACTCCGACACATGGGGATGCCATGCACAGCTCTTAGCGAAGCCTGGGCTACGACCTGCAACAATCGAGGCGAAGGGAACCGCCTTCACGAGGGCACACCACGGAGGTCTCGTGAGCCAAGATTCACCTTATGTGTCTATGACTTGACCAAACGTTAATTAGTGCTGAGACGCGTGCAGGGATTTCTCTCTTTCTTCTCTGACGGGTTACTTTCATCTTTCTTATGATATTTTACCGCTCCTTTAAATCATATCCACAATGCACATGGTCTTTGTTTTCCTTCCGCTACGGGCGTTACATAGTGAATGCTTTCGTTTTATAAATCTTTCGGGCGCCTTACCGCAACCGTGTGCCTAGTACCTGCTCCACCAGTGGTAAACTTATTGCACTACTACGCTCTTATGCGCTCAGAGTCTTTGTGAAACTGACTGATTTAGTGGTTTTTGATGACGATCAGGACAATTTTAGTTGGCACCATGTGTCCATTTTCAGAAATTAAAAAGTTAGTTGGTAATTTTTAGTTAATTAGCGAACTAATTAGTAAGTATCCCGCATTTTATGATGTCCGCTACCGCGAGTAATGCGGAAGTGAAAATGTTGACTTTTTATCTCGAATGCACTAATTTTAGGAATTTTTGTCACGCTTAAGCGAAAGACCCTGCATATGAAAAATGTTGGTGCAATGCGATTACATTTTTTTTAGTTAATGATTTGGTATAGGGCTGTAAGCAATCGTTGCAAGTGGCACCACAACTTTGCTGGCCAACCATCTTCATGGCGTGGATTGGATGCCCGAATTTTTTTGTTCTCCTAAACGCTTTACAAGTGCGACACAAAAAGCTGTCCCAAATGTTCGTACAATTCAGGCTGCTTCGCAACGTGGAGCATAAATCCTTAACAGAAAGATACAAATAGAGCTACGTTAGTACCCCTTGTCGTTTGGAAATTATGGTAGCAATTCCAGCACCTAAATTATAGATATAATTAGAGGTAATTACCAGAAAAGGGCAAAATGGGTAAACCAGCTCGCGTAACTTAAACATAACAAACGAGGAGAGGGAGCAATGTCGTCCTAAGTACGGTTTCGCTGCCAAATTTTTCTTTTTCTGTTATGATAAATTATGAAGTTGATGTAAAATTAGTACCAAAATTTATTAGAGTTCTTCTCCTATATTTAGATTTTTATTAACCATACGTTTTGAAGGTAAACGTTCGGCAGCCCTCTGCCTGGTTAGGAATAGACATGAAGCGAAAAATAGGGACTCTAACCAAAAATTTAATCAACAAAGGGTATCTATACTCTGTAGTTGCGAGCGCCACTTCTCGGACGACGATGTTATTAAATTTTTTGTTACAGTTCCTATTCGCTTCATTAACCATACGCTCAAAGCTCGAACATATCTGGTACAGTTTAAACATAATGAATCCAGACAACGTAGTTATAAAGGTTTTTGTCAGCTAAAAACATTACGCCTGTCATAAATCTAACGGGAAAATAATAAGCTCGTAGTTCACACCATTATATGGTCACAACATGAGATTACCTATGTGCTAGTCCATATTTAGGTTTTATTAGACTGCGTTCTAAAATCTCGGCACGGCTGTTGTTTAAACAATATAATCCGATATATCATATCGCTTTCCTTATTTTGACAAATAAACAGATGTCATTAGTCATGCGTTTGATGTCAAATGAACGTGTCGGTATCTAAACATAATTTAAAGCACACAAATTACCTTTATCTAGAGTTGTTAATTTATATTTATATTTTGGTAGGACGTACTTTCAAAGCTCGAATAATATAATCCTGGAGTAAAATGTTTCCAGCTCCCAAGATAATTCATGTGCTCTCTTATGACGCATTATAATGTAAAAATAGGCACTTAATACGATATATGCTGTAGCTCTTAAACAGCAATAACAAAACATAGAACGAGAGTATAACTCTCTTTAATACCGGTAGACTAAATGGCACGTGTTAGGAACTGGTCTGATGCGTATTTGAGCCAAAATAGCGCATTTCATTTTTCCCCGTAGCGCCGGCTTCCCGCACGGCCCGGGCATTATGCTCGTCACATGACTGAATTCTGCGAATAGCCGCGCCGCGCGTTGCTGGCCTGCGGCGGTTTTGGCACAACCATAGCCAGCCAGAGGAGGAAAACCTGGGGGCTAGATGATCAAGTGCTGTTTCCGTCAAGCTTGACAAATGCTGTGTGCCTTGGTGTAACGGCAATTACAAAACGGGGCCCAAAGTGCACGTGTTTGGCTTTACTGAAGATTAAGCAGTGCGGAATGCCGGCATAAGCGTCACCCCCCGAAGAAAACAATTATTTTCCCAGCGAACGAATTTAAGGATTTCCCATTTTCCATTGTTTATCTCGCATTCGTAGTAGCATAGCGCCATTCGGACGGGATATCAATAGAAGCGTTGTAGGAATAGGCGATAATGGCGACGTGTAGCGTTTCATTGTAATTCGCTATTATTTATTCGAAGGGTATATATATTTTGTTGTGTGCGAGCACCGCTTCTCGGACGACGAAATTATTCGGGACGTTTGTCTCGCCGACTAGGTTATCAGGAGGACGGTGAATGCTCCACTGTCTAGGATGCTCTTTCGCCCAGGCGGAGTGCCATCAATGTTCCCTGTATCTCCAGATTATTTATCAAAATAACGTGCGAGGAGAAAGAACCTGTACAGCAAGCGATTATATAAAGAAATGAAAGAGAAATGAGTGAAAGAAATGTCTGAAATGGAGAGAGCTCTTGCGGAGTCGATCAATTATATCGCAGTGGAGGAACAAGGGGACCGAATACTGACAAGAAAAGACATGGCCGACCACTTGAAAAACGTGAAATCGGCATTCTGGCATGCTATTGAGGTCAAAGAATACCTCACTCTGCTGCATATTGTTGCTGCTGAGGACCCTTGAATAAACTCGATCGTCGTGAAGGCTGACCTAACACTCACATTGCCTTTTGCGAAGACTCCGCTCGCAACGTTGGGCTCCAACTTGCTCATATCAACCATCGTAAACAGCAAAAAGGGGAGTAGTGGATCTCTCCAAAAGTGTCGAAATTCGGAGCAACGCTGTCAACTAAAGTTCTTAAATCTCGCACAAAGACATCTAGCCACAATTCATTTTCTGCCTGACATGATGCCCGCATCGCGGAGTGCAGATCAAGCAGCAGTCATCCAACTGCTTGCCGAGCAACTGGACCTGATTTCTACCAAGACAGAGCGAAGGCATTATTCATTGTATTTTATGATGTTTGCATGCATTGTTTTCACAGTATCGCGTCATGCATTCTAGTACATTCGTGTCTGTGTAAGCATTGTTCTGCCATACCCTAGGACCAACCAATCGATATGTTCTTCGTTTGGTATGAACCCTCATCAAAAGCAGCAAAGTTAAACTTTCCCCCTGATACATGGCGAAGAGGATCTCTGACTTGAACGATGACCAACGTTATGTGACCTTGGTGGAGGACGAGGTCCACATAAAACCGTTTATCGAAACTAAAGGAGTCAAGATTGTGGGTGTCGCACATGATTCCACAGAAGTAGCGAATGGTGCGTTGATGTTTATGGCGCAAATCATCAACTATCCAATTAAGGAGGTCCCTCACACTGTTCCCGTGTACAAAGCCAACGTAGAGTTTCTGCACAAGTGCCTTGGAGACGTCATTTGCCGGCTCGAGAACATCGGCTACCGGGTGATGTGCGTTGTAACGGATAATAATGCAGTGAATCGAAGGTCTTTGGCTCTTTTTAAGACCTTGATGTACAACCACGACACGCCTGGTACTCTAACGCGTCATTCAAACGTGTTTTTCTACCAACATCCGCTCAAATCAAGCAGGCCGTTTTTTTGTTTTTTTTATTGACATTGTACACATAATCAAATTCATACGCAATAATTGGCTGAAGCAAGATAATCATTGCTTCTGGTTTCCCGAGCTTCAGTTTGACACGGAAGGACAGCGGCGCATGCTGTGTGCGTAGTTCAATACTATCAAGACGGCCTACGACTTGGAATGCGACCAACCGCTGCGGTATATCTACAAAGTTCCAAGGCAAGCCCTTCGCCCGCCATGCAATGAGAAGCAGAACGTGAAACTTGCTCTCGAGATATTTGAAAGTTCTCTTCCAACTTCCCTTCGTGCTATTTGAGGGAAGCACAATCTGAAGTTTTTCAATGAAACCGCGACTTTCATTGAAATTATAGTAACGTGGTGGAAACTCATGAATATGAAATCACCCCCCAAAGAAAACAGACTGAAATTCGGTTCCAACAACCTGTGCGCCCGGCTCCAGACGACGAGGAGGCGGATTCTCTCTACAAGATTTTAGACTGGTTGGATGAATGGGGAAAAATGCCAACAACTGCGAATTGTCCGAAAAAAAAAACAAAAAAACTCATAACGCACAACAACAGTCAATTTACGCGCTCTCGAAATATGCAGGTACTGCTTCGAAGAACTCAAGCTGTCCAACGTTCTCATCGCGAAATTTCAGTCTGAAAGTTTAGAGGATTGCTTTGGCAGGTACCGGCGGCTGGCAAGTTTTCAATACCTTGTGTCTATACGACAGCTTTATGAAAGAGAAACCGAGCTGCGGCGGCAAAACACACTTGAACCGATTGGCAAAGGTTCCTGAACAGACAGAGATGAGAAATGAGAGAATATGAAAAAGTGAGGAGGCGCGTCGCGCTCTAGCTACAACTTAGTTGTAACAGAACACGACCTCCCAAAAATTAAAGACATCGTCCCCTTTCCAGCGTATGGGGCCGGATGTGTGGCGTGCGCGACGGTGAAGAAACCAAAGTGTGAGAACTGCAAAAGTTTCCTGACCACAGACCGCACGATTCCAGCTTCCACCGGCCAAGAGCACTACCTTCTCATCAAATAAATTGACAGAGGACGCCTTTTGAAACCAGCAATGACCGCTATCGTACATAACTACTTTTTTGTTAAGAGAATTTGAAGCGGGTGGACTTCTCAACGACGAGTAACCAACGCGAGCTGGTCACGGACCTCACACTGGACTTGCTGATCGACGAGGATTGCTTCGACTTCGATGTGTGTGAACAAGGACACACGAGTAGGGTCGTGCTGAAGCATGTGTTGTGGTGCTTTACAAACATTATACTAAGAATACTTTTGCAACAAGCTCAGCGTCAAAGTTGTAGAAACAAACAACAAATCTAAGGAATCTGGCCACGCTTACAAAAACAATTATGTCAATATCCTAGCATGCACAGTCAGCACCTTTTTTTTCAGATTTTTAACGCGCGAGTCAATAAACGCGCGTTTGTGCTGAAAAACTGAAGTAAGTGGTATCGATAATCATTCGCATTTTCACACCAATAGCCTTATTGTGCGTTTACACTTGTGGATTCTCGGGTGGGTCCGCGCCGGCGGCGAGCGGACTTCGGAGCCAGGGTAGTGAAATCCCGCATCGCTGACGGAAAACTTGTATTGGTCCTCAATCCATATCCATATTTCCCGCCGGCAACGAGTCCATTTCGCCACCCGGTTCCAAACGCCGCTTGCCGCCAGCGCGAACACTCCCCCGAATACGCAACTGTAGAGGTTCCTTTACGCCTGCTCCATGAATTACAACTTTAGCGAACGACCGCGCTTCTCACACGATCTGAACTTTTCCAGAACTTGAAGATTTAGTGATTTTCGATACCGCTTATTAAGTTTCTGATCAAAACACTGCCTATTATGACAAATTAAAAAAAAAATTAAAAAATGTCGGGGCTTTAATGGACACTGTGAAGGTGGTTCGCCAGCGAAAATTTGATTTGACCTGCAACGACTGCCAACTGCACTGCACCAAATTATTGACGGAATAAAATTAAATTCACTCTGCCAGAACTTTTTTATATACAGGGTGCTTCACGTAAAAATGAAGAAAATTCCTAAAATTAGTGTATTCGAAATAAAAGTATAATTTTTTCGGAACCGCATTATTCGCGGTGGTGGATATCAGAAAACGCGCGATTTCGTTTTACTAGAGTTTCAAGTGACCGGTCATACGTGTTTTCTTTTTGGTTATTCCTTTGTTGAACTTCCTTTTTTAAGCTACTAAATGCTTGCTCATATTGCACACATTTCTCTAATACATTCATATTAAAAAAAGAAAAAAAGTTCCGAGTAATTGAAGTTATCTGTTATACATATTTGTAACGAAAGTGCAGTACAAATTGCTGCCGAAAAAAAATTTAAGTGGCTACAACAAAATTACTTGAAAAAGTAACGAATTACCACTTACCTGTTACTTGTAACGGATAACTTCCCAAATCTGCCAGCAGGCCAGCTGTTTGTAAATCAATAGGTAATTGACTGCATAACGCTCAGCTTCTTGAATGAGGCGGCAGCTTGGGCCAACTAGAATGCGTAGTTACCGCAAGATGACACGAAAGAAAAAAAAAATGAAAAAAAAAAACGAATGTTTTTTTTTCGGAGTTTTCCGCGTCACCAAAGTCATACACTACCACATGCAGCGTACATACACAGAACGAACACCAACCAACACACCGAACACTGGTACACGCAAACACACAGTGCACCAGCGCACAAAGAAAACACACCAGCTCCGTGACTTTCTAGTATAACCTCTACCGAACCTCTACAGACACGCTCGGCCAAAGCACTGCGGAAGCCAGGGAGCTCGTGCTGAAGGCGGAGCATCTAGTCTCAGCTTAAGGGTAGACGGAGTAAGATGAACACAAACAGTATTTGCAAGTATTACTGGTATATGAGTGCTCTTCGTGCTTAAATTATAAGGCTAGACACCCCCCTTAATCTAGCGTTTCGAAGGGCATCATGATATGAAAGCAATCGGCTAAGCTAACACCGCAAGGCGTGCTCCCGATAAGTTCCGGTTTGAGCATCACGCGGTGATAAGAATCCTCAAGCCATGTTGCCTCATGCTAGTTTCGGGCGTGTAATATAGCAACACAAGTTACAATTTCTCCATTCATAGTCTCATAATCGTTTATCTTGTGTTCATTTATTTATTTTTTTCCCTTAAATGCAATGGCTAAGAATAGGTGGCTGATAATTGTGCATGGGCAATTCGTCTTGTCTAAGGGGGCTGCACGAAATGTTTCTGCTCTTTTTCTTTCTTTTTTAAACTACACTGCCTGTAACCCTCAGCACGCATCGCAAGTTAACTGTAGCGGGCAAGCGCTGGCGGCACGCTTTACAGTGTCGAGTAGCCGATGGGGCGCCCTACACGCTCCATCCTAAGAGTACCTGCATAAAACATCAAGCCGTCACGTAACAAATAATTGTATTGGGGTATCATTTGATAAAATGTCTCGCATAGCTAATTATTCTTTTATGTGCTGCTTTTATGTGCTGCTGGGGAATTGGAGCCGGCAGGGATCCCAGCATGAGTTCACCGTGCTTTTTTCGCGTGCACACGACAGTCCTGTCGGCACTCTGCTTTATCAGTAGCGACGGCTTTGGCGGGAGTGGCCCATCAACGATAACATCAAGCAGGTGGATTTCTACTGACTTCACGGCGAACGCGACCATGACATCGACGGTTCCGCATCGGGGGGCCTTTTCAGTGTTCCCGTGGCTGCCACCCCTACTGCAACAAATGGACTATCCCAGCGGCTTTTTAAGACGACCGCCGCCACCACTTCTTCGGGAATTGGAGCCGGCAGGGATCCCAGCATGAGTTCACCGTGCTTTTTTCGCATGCAGGTTGGTACTGTTTACTCTGGATATAATCCTAGAGCTTGTTTTTACCTGCCGGCTCCACCCAAAGACGTTTTCCTAATGACGTATACACGTTATAAGCATCATTGCTTTTATGTACACCGTAGGTTTTGGAGAAAATTAGTATTTTTAGTATTGTTGTTATTACTGGCGGGTGATGTCGAATTGAATCCAGGCCCCCCTACGAAGGCTGAACAGATGGCAAATATGGAATCCATGCTTATGAGCCTAACTGCTAGAATGAACAGGGTTACGACACAACTTTCCAGTATTCAAAGTAAGCAAGAAGAATTTGAAAAGAAACTGGACACCTTGATTAAGAGCAATGACCACTTAGAAAAACGTGTTGATGGTTTTGAGGGATTGACCAAAAATCTACAAGCACAGATTGATGCTCTTGAAAACCGCAGTCGAAGGTGCAATCTGGTGTTTTACGGCATAGATGATGCGAAGAGCAATGAGACATGGGAAGAATTGAAGAACCATGTGCTACAACTATGTAATGATAAAATGGGCATCAACCCCATTTGGATTCAAAGGGCACATCGGATTGGTCAATATAGAGCGAATGGGAAAAGGCCAATTATTGTAAACTTTGTGTTGTGGAATGAAAAAGAAAGCATATTACACGCGGGGTTCAAATTTAAAAATACCAACTACAGTGTCTCAGAGGATTTTAGCAAAACACTTCGCGATAAAAGACGTATGCTATGGGATTCCTCAGAAGAAATAAGGTTAAACAAGGCTAACAAAGTCTTTTTGTCGTACGATAAGCTGACCGTGAATGGAGAAGCGTATATTTGGGATACTGAACAAAAGAAGGCGGTCCTCGTGCATGGTAATAGACATGTAAGAACACAAGAATGACATAGACCTTTCGCTCACACAACTTCTGATAATGTATCCATATCTTCAAATGCTCGCCCGACGGGTCTGTTGATAAACTGCCGCAGTCTTACAAATAAAGTAGACGAGTTTTTCTGTTTAGTAGAGGCAATACAGCCATGCTTAGTCATGGGCACTGAGTCGTGGCTCGATGACTCAGTGCTTAATAGCGAAGTGTTTCCTAAGGGCTTTGCAGTCTATCGTAATGACCGCAACGCGCATGGCGGTGGGGTGTTTTTATTGATAGACTCACGGTGGGCAAGCAGTGAGCTTCAAGTGCCGCCAAATGATACTGAATCTGTTTGGTGCCAAGTACACTTGCCCAAAGGAGGCACCCTTGTATTAGGCACTTACTATCGTCCCCCAACAATAAATAATATCGATGAACTTGGTCAAGTACTGTCCACTATCTCTGATAGTTCTATTATTGTAGGAGGGACTTTAATCTTCCCAATATAAATTGGGCAGGCACTGCATATACTTGTGATGACAGTTCCACCTTGTATAAATCTTTTAATAATCTCTTTATTTCATTTGCTCTAAACCAATTCGTACTCTCACCGACAAGAAAAAACTCTATTTTGGATTTGTTACTGACGAATAACCCTAGTATTATTTCAAATGTCTCCATAATTCCTAGTATAAGTGATCACAGTGCAGTTGTATGTGAATTACCATTGCATAAAATAAATAGGGTGTCAAAGCCTCCACGCAAAGTAAGGATGTACGGACAGGTTAATTATGAAAGTATTTCGTTAGAGCTCTCGGCATATTTCCCTTACTTTTCCGATCTCAGTAAAGAGTGCGACGTTAAAGAATTATGGGAAACTTTTAAGCATAAAATTAAGGTGCTCGCTGATTCTCACATACCATCCAGGACTATTAAGGAAAATAATAAACATAAACCATGGATAAATGCTACGATTCGAAAACAAATAAAACGTAAAAGTCGGGTTTACAAAAAAATATAGAAAAAATCCGTCCAATATCAATTAGAACAAAAACTTGAGGAGATAACCGCAAATCTTAAAAAAAGATATCAAAGAAAGCAAACTAATTTTCTACGAGTCTTTTGAAAACAAATTAAGAAATGACCCTACTGAATTCTGGAAATTCGTTAAGGCAAATAAAAAAGAGGATACTTCAATTCCTGGTTTATTGAAGGATGGCAACTTAGTGAACAGCGATATTGAAAAAGCGGAATTTTTTAACACATACTTTAAATCCGTTTTTTCACCCCGCGCTCTTGGAGGTATTCCTTCTGTGCCTGATAGAATAGCAAGATCTGTTATGCCAGAAGTGATAATAGGAATGGACGGGATTATAGCACTTCTAAGAGACCTAGACACTTCAAAGGCATATGGACCAGATGAGCTCTCGCCGGTAATTTTTCACAATTGTAAAGAGGAAATTGCAAGATACATACGTATAATTTTTACCAAATCACTAACAACTGGCATAATTCCCGACGATTGGAAAAAAGCAAACGTAACTCCAATTTTTAAGTCAGGATCAAGAAATCTTGTTGAAAACTACCGCCCCGTGTCTCTGGCATGTGTTGCGTGCACACTCTTGGAGCATATATTATATAGCTCAATATATAACTTCTTAAGTTCCAGAAATTTTTTCTCTCCTTCCCAACATGGTTTCCGTCGTGGTTATTCGTGTGTAACTCAGCTAGCTGAATTTACAGATTACCTTTCAAACGCCATTGACAACAAAAAACGAGTAGATTGTATATTCTTGGATTTCTGTGAGGCGTTTGATACGGTGTTACATCATTTCTTATTGAATAAGCTTACATTAATAGGAATTAATGAAAATATTATAAATTGGGTTGCTGTTTACTTATCTCAGCGAGAACAAATTGTTGTATTAAATGGTCAAAAATCTTCACCTGTACTTGTAACCTCGGGGGTGCCTCAGGGAAGTGTACTCGGACCTTTGTTATTTCTTATATTTATTAACGACATTTCCGAGGGGATACAGTCAAACATCAAGCTATTTGCGGATGATTGTGTATTATACAGAGTTATAGAAAATGACGCAGACGTCTGTATGATGCAAACAGATTTAGTTATTTTAGAATGCTGGTGCGATCATTGGGAAGTGGGTTTGAATATAAAAAAGTGCAAATACATGTGTTTTTCTCGATCTATTGTTAGCATGGCTACATATAAGATAAAAAACTATGAACTTGAGCGGGTAGATAAACACAGGTATTTGGGAGTTAATTTTTCGAATAATCTAAATTGGAATGACCACATAGATAGTATTGTAGCAAAAGCAAGTAAGATATTATTTTTTATTCGGAGGAATTTTAAGAATACATCTCGTAGCGTAAGACAAACATTATATTTTTCTTTTATCAGACCAATTTTGGAGTATGCCTGTGTTATCTGGGACCCGCCTCAGTGTTACCTCACGAATAAGTTAGAGCGAATTCAAAATCGGGCACTAAGGTTTGGCACAGGCGATTATATTCCGTACTCGAGCTGTACAGAAATGATGAATAGACCAGGTTGGGACCTTCGTAGACTTCGGAGAAAGTGTTTGCGGTTAAAGTTCTTTCACAGTATATATCACGGGGAAACGGGCATTGAAAAGGGTCTTTACATTCTCGAACCACACCACGTATCTTCAAGGCGGAATCATTCTAAGACTGCGACAGAGTATCGTTATCGAACTGACTGTTTTTGCTATTCATTTTTTGTTCAAACCTCCCGGGAGTGGAATGCCCTTCCGGAAGAACTGATAGCTATTATCAATAATGACGTCTTTTATGACAGAATGCGGAGAAGCGTGGTCGAGTGAAAATGTAGTACTGGATGATTGTCGATTGCGTTACTGAAAATGTATTTTGAATGCGTTTTTCTTTTGTTCCCCCCTGCATAATGCCTAACGGCGAAGCAGGTATTTGTGTAAATAAATAAAATAAATTAGGATAACATATACACCATTATCAGATTATTTTAAATCGTTCACATGGGGACATTTTAACTAAGCAAAATAGAAAGCTCAGAGCATTAGGTCTTTACAACCAAAAGTAGAGTTCATATTCGCAACTCCAGCCCGTCGCTCGCCCTCTCGCGGATGAACCAAGAAGCAGAGAAGTGGATAGGGTGGAGGAGACGGTGCCAGGGATCATTGGCCTTGGCGCTGCAGCATGGTTCTGGTAGGCGTGTTCGTGCATCACGCCGTTTTAACGAAAAAAGCGAGTGCGTTAAAAAAGAAATTGGTTTGTTTCACTCCGAGACTTTTTAGAATTAACATGCTCGTTTTTGTGATGCACGTCAACATCTCAGTCACCTAGTTATTTTTCTGCCCCTTGCGCTTCGAGCCAAAATGAACTAATTTTAGCACTGCTCGGCGTCAGCGAGCAGGCGCACGAGAAATCCTGAAGAATCTATCCTCATCTGCTTTGCCATCTATAAGGCGTTGGAGTTGCGAATTTATTAAGTGGTTCTAATGAAGACAAAGAGTACGGGGGGAAATTACGTTTAATATTTTATTTTACACCTCTGATATACAATTTTATACCGAAAATATTTTTATTTAAAAAACAAAACTTAATCTTTTAAAGTAAATTAGCATGCGCGTTTGAAACATTATGAAAATGAAAATGTTAAAAACAGTATTTTTCTGCACTGGGCAATCAGAACTATAATAATTATGATAATGATACTTTTTGAAGCCAGGCATAACATTGCTGCCTTTTTATTGGCAGCATTAAATATGAACAAAATCAGTAAACTTACATATAACCGCGAACGTCTAACCAAAAACAATGTTACGTATGCATTACAAACATAATAAATAATAAAAAATATTCGACACTTGTAGTTTCATCATCAATTAAAAGTATGGGGAAACAAAAAAAAAACACAAAAATGAATATTATTTACAACAAGCATGACACTGGGCCGTATGACCAATGCTTCAACAACAACAACAAAAAAGCATCATTCACTATGCCAAAAGCTTTCGACTTATCAAAGTATGTTGTTGACTTGGAATGCTTAAAGAAAAAGTGACAACAAACATTTAGGCTCTCTTGAGATGAGGATATCTTTCGTGTAATAAAACATTTCGATTTTTCATCAAGGAACATTCGCAATCACCATTTCTTTTGCACTTGTCCTGTAATTCCATCCGAGTCCTTGCCGAACCATGACACAGCATTCCTTCTTCATACAAGACAAGCCAAGCTCACGCAAAATACTTGCGCAGCGCTCGTGTCCAATACGAGTCCAGAGTGCCTGCCCAAAGAATGGTGGACATCGATAACAGGTGCAGGAGCTGCTAGGAGGCGTACACTTTTGAAAAAAGGTATATTAAAGGGTTGCTGACAAGCCGTCGGTGGCTGCAATACAAATAGCAGAAGCCCATACTGCAATATTCACTCGTCACTTATAACTTTCATAATAGCCTTCGTGCTTGTCGTGGGCAACACTTGATCCTGCGTACTCTCGTAAGCCGGCGGAGTCGATTACATGATGTGCGTCGTCTGTTAACGCTCTTTCGCGTCTTTTTACTGGTGCTGGCCGCATGAGGTACTGCGCTCGGCGGTAGGCTCCGGTGTTGCCCACAACAATTCTAAATTGCAAAAAAAAAAGATAACAAAATAAACAGGGTGATAATCATGTAGCAATGATGAAAAAAAAAATGTTTCAAGGTGGCGTGACATAAGAAAAAAATTTGTTTTTCTTTTTTTAAATATGTTGACATCCTATGCAAACACAATTTTGGAAGTTTCACGGTCTAAACAATGAAGCACGCCCCACCGAATAATTGAAAATTGATTTTCACCACTTGGGCATGGTCTGACGAGCAGGTGAAATCACGTTACATTTTGAAGTCGCAATAGCTCCAATTCCAATTTACCGTGTTCCCAAGCAGCAAGCGGTGAAATTTCGACATTAAAATTTTTGCTACGCTCACCGTCAAAAACAATATATATATATATATATATATATATATAT